CTGTCTTCCGACAGTTATTGAGTGATCCATCCCCTGTCGTCCTGTCCCAGCTTCTGGTGGCCAGAGGCTGAGGGACATCCAGATCCTGGGATTGCATCCCTGAGCATCTTGGCTAATAGCCATTGATGGACCTATCCTCCAGGAACTTATCCAATTCCTTCTTTGAACCAGTTATACTTTTGGCCTTCACAACATCCCCTGGCAAGGAGTTCCACAGGTTGACTGTGCATTGTGTGAAGAAATACTTCCTTTTGTTTGTTTTAAACCTGCTGCCTGTTAATTTCATCAGGTGATGACTGGTTCTTGTGTTATGTGAAGGGGTAAATAACACCTCCTTATTTACTTCCTCTGTGCCTTTCAGGGTTTTATAGACTTCTATCGTATTCCCTCAGTCGTCTCTCTTCCAAGAAGAACTGTCTCAATCGTTTTAATCTCTCCTCATATGGAAGCTGTTCATCTGCCATTTTCTCATCCAGTCACCCAGTTTTGTGAGACAGAGACAACCTGGCAACCCTATCCAGTGCCCTTCCCCTCCCTTAACCATAGAGACCCTGACTAGAGTACCCCTCACTGCAGTGACCCCCCATCCTGACCATAGAGACCTCGCCTAGAGTGTCCCACATACTGCAGTTAAAAATTACTTAGACAAGTTAGATGTCTTCAAGTCACCAAGGCCTGATGAAATGTGTCCTAGAACACTCAAGGAGCTGACTGAGGAGATATCTGAGCCATTAGCAATTATCTTTGCAAAGTCATGGAAGACACGAGAGATTCCAGAAGACTGGAAAAGGGCAAATATAGTGCCCATCTATAAAAAAGGAAATAAGGACAACCTGGGGAATTACAGACCAGTCAGCTTAAGGTGTGTACCTGGAAAGATAATTGAGCAAATAATTAAGCAATCAATTTGCAAACATCTAGAAGATAATAGGGTGATAAGTAACAGCCAGCATGGATTTGTCAAGAACAAATTGTGTCAAACCAACCTGGTAGCTTTCTTTGACAGGGTAACAAGCCTTGTGAATGGGGGGAAGCGGTTGACATGGTCCATGTTGCCGTTAGTAAAGTTTTTGATACTATCTCCCATGACCTTCTCATAAACAAACCAGTGAAATACAACCTACATGGAGCTACTATAAGGTGGATGAAAAACCGGTTGGAAAATCATTCCCAGAGAATAGTTATCACTGATTCACGGTCAGGCTGGAAGGACATAACGAGTGGGGTTCTGCAGGGATCAGTTCTGGATACGTTTCTATTCAAAATCTTAATCAATGATTTAGATAATGGCATAGAGAGTACACTTAAAAAGTTTGTGGATGATACCAAGCAGGGAGGGGTTTCCAAGTGCTTGGGAGGATAGGATGAAAATTCAAAATGATCTGGACAAAGTGGAGAAATGGTCTGAAGTAAATAGGATGAAATTCAATAAGGACAAATGCAAAGTATTTGACTTAGGGTACGTCTATACTTACCTCCGGGTCCGACGGTAAGCAATCAATCTTCTGGGATCGATTTATCGCGTCTTGTCTAGACGCGATAAATCGATCCCGGATCGAGCCCGGTACTCCTGCTCCGCGAGAGGAGTATGCGGAGTTGACGGGGGAGCCTGCCGGTAAGTTCGAACTAAGGTACTTCGACTTCAGCTACGTTATTCACGTAGCTGAAGTTGCATATCTTAGTTCGAAGTGGGGGGTTAGTGTGGACCAGGCCTTAGGAAGGAACAATCAGTTGCACACATACAAACTGGGAAATGACTGCCTAGGAAGGAGAACTGCAGAAAGGGAACTGGGGGTCATAGTGGATCACAAGCTGAATATGAGTGAACAGTGCTGCTGCAAAAAAACTGAACATCATTCTGTGCTGTATTAGCAGGAGTGTTATAAGCAAGACGCACTGATTAGGCCTGAACTGGAGTATTGTGTCCAGTTCTGGATGTCACATTTCAGGAAAGATGTGGACAAATTGGAGAAAATCCAGAGAAGAGGGGGGAAAAAAAGATGAAAGGTCTAGAAAACATGACCTTTGAGGGACTATTGAAACATGATAACCGTTTTCAAGTACATAAAAGCTTGTTACAAGGAAGAGGGAGAAGAATCGTTCTTCTTAACCGCCAAGGACAGGACAAGAAGCAATGGGCTTAAATTGCAGCAAGGGAGGTTTAGGTTGCTACATCAAGTAGCAGTTTTTTACAACAGCAGGTTCTTACAATCTATACACATCAATAACTGCTACAGATAGCACATTCCTACGGGGAGCAATTTCACACACTATAGTAAAAGAAACTGCTACCGGTGGGCATTTGCTACATCAGGTAGCAGTTTTATACAGTAGCAGTTTCTTACAATCCTACCTATCCATAACTGCTACCAGTAACACATTCCTACGGGGAGCAGTTTTAATACACTACACACTGGGGGACTATCGCTGGTCAGGAGGATGGTGCGTTTGGTGACAGGCGACAAACTCCGGGTGTGCGGGCCTGATCCTCCACTCCCCTGAAAGCCCTGAGCGAGCTGAACTTAGCTCCGGGCTCTAGATTGTTGCCTAATTTACTTTCACTTTCCATGTTCCTCAGAGCTCAGCGAGGCCGAGAGACACAGGAAGGGAGGAAGATGGAGGAACACGCGGGGATTATTCTGCTCCTCTGAGTTCATCGAGGAGGTCGGAGGGTCTGGTGCACTTGGGGTGGAAGGTAAGAGACTCTTCTCTCGTCTGGCTCTCATTTGCTGCTGCTCCTGCCGCTGCCTTTTGCCTGTAACTACAAGAGACATTTCAAAGGGCAGCTGCAAAATGAACAATAAAATGACTAACACGTTTATTTGAGCATCAGCTTTTGTGGGCTACAGCCCACTTCATCGGATGCCCACGGAAGCTTATGAGCAAATAAATGTGTTAGTCTCTAAGGTGCCACAAGGACTCCTGTTCTTTTTGCAGATACAGACTAACACGGCTGCTACTCTGAAATAAAATGACTGCTGAGTCATATGACCGTAGCATGACCAGACGTCCCGATTTTATAGGGACAGTCCCAATTTATTGGGTCTTTTTCTTATATAGGCTCCTATTGCATCCCCCCCACCCCCCGTCCTGATTTTTCACATTTGCTGTCTGGTCACCCTATATGACCGGCAATCATAGAATCACAGGGCTGGAAGGGACCTCGCTAGGTCGTCTCGTCCATCCCCTGTACTGAGGCAGGATGAAGTATTATCTAGACCATCTCTGATAGGGATTTGTCCAACGTGCTCTTAAAAATCTCCAGTGACGGAGATGCCGCAACCTCCCTAGGAAATTTGTTTCAGTGCCTAACCACCCAGACAGGAAGTTTTTCCTGATGTCTAACCAAAATCTCCCTTGCTGCAATTTAAGCCCATTGCTTCTTGTCCTGTCCTCGGTGATTAAGGAGAGCAATTTATCACCCTGCTATTTATAACACCCTTTGATTTACTTGAAACCTGATATCAGGTCCCCCCGCCCCTTCGTCTTCTCTTCTCCAGACTAAACAAACCTGTTTTTTTTTCAATCTTTCTTCATACATCATGTTTTCTAGACCTTTCATCATGTTTGCTCCCCTCCTCTGGACTTCCTCCAATTTGTCCACCCCTTTCCCCAGGTGTGGTGTCCAGAACTGGACTCAGTACTCCAGCCGAGGCCTTATCAGCGCTGAATAGAGTGCAATGCGCAACCCAAACGGGTTTTGTTTAAAGCATCGCATAGACTATAATAGAGAATTATTTTCCCTCTCTGAACTTTTATAGCGTGGTTAAAAAAACCCTGCGGAAATGATGTGGGGGTGTGATTTCATTCACACTGAAGACCTATTGCACTGCTGTGACAGTGAACAAGGGGCTTAAAGTGGAAACACATGTTTTTTTCACCGATGTTAAAGCCCTGTTACACTGCCAGAGAGTTTTAAAGGGGCCTTAGTGTAAATGAAAACCAGGCTCTGAGTTTCTATTTGATTCTAGAGCGGTGAGTGTAATTTCTATAGACCCCCGTTAAGGGTTAGGTGTAAATTGGCACAACCACATTAATTCCAGTGGAGCTACGGCCCATTGACCCCAGCTGGGATCTGGCCCCTTCTGACTGCAGTGGAGCTACGGCCCATTGACCCTGGCTGGGATCTGGCCCCTTTTGCATGCAAATGCTACTTACCCCAGCTTAAAACTGTTCATCCTGATTCTCATCCACACTAAATCCCCTTTACAAACCTCTGGCTGACTGCAAGACCTCGGCGAAGGAGCCAGGACGTGACTGAGAATCAGGCCCAGTTAAGCGGCCTTCAGCGGAGTGACTCCCGGTTTGCGCTGGGGTGAGTGGGGCTGCAGGGAACCCGGGGCTGCAGGGCCCGTGTGAATGTTGTTCCCAGGGGCTGGTGTCTGGAATGCAGCTAATCGGAGCATTTTCTCTCCTTCTCTTGCAGATTTGAAATGGTCAGAGTCAGGATGGGAACGAGCCCTGGCTGGTCGCTGCGGTTGGTGGCTCTGTGGACTCTCTATGGTAGGTACTGCCTGTTCCTGCTTTGCTCTCCTGCTTCTATTGAGTGATCTGGTGTCACTTTAATTGTCCATTTCCCTCCTGGGTTTGCCCCATGTGCCCCCCCCCTTTTTTTTTTAGCTGGTCCCAGTCTGTCCCAGTGGCGCCGTTTCAGATTTTGGGGGTGGGGGCAACTTTAATCGTGATTCCAAGGGGCTATATAGGTACCTGAAAACTCTAGTTTTTTTCAGATAATAACTTGGGAATCAGCTGACAGGAGCCCTGTGTCTAATTTCTATAGAAAGAAAGAAAATGAAATACACCAATGAAAGCCATGTTTTACGTTTATATGTAAGCGTAGAACAATCAGGAGATAACACAGCAAGGTGTTCCCCACCCCACGCCTGGTGGTATCAGTTCTGGAGCGTTAGCGCAGATCTCAGAAACACACGCTTGATACTTTGCACACCGTCTTTCATAGAGATGAATACCAATAAATAAAATCTACTTCAAATCAGCCCACTTTCTCTCGCGGACACGCTCTGTGTTCCTACCATTATCGCCTCTATTTTAGCCAATTGTTTTTCACTCCACTAAAAATGTAGTTACTTCATTTTAACATTACGATTAAGGGTTTTTTCCTAATTATTTTGACATTTATGTTTACCATTTACAATCATAGAATCGTAGAACTGGAAGGGACCTCACGAGGTCATGTAGTCCAGTCTCCTGCACTCATGGAAGGACTAAGTATTATCTAGACCTTCCCTGACAGGTGTTTGTCCAACCTGCTCTTAAAAATCCCCCATGATGGAGATTCCACAACCTCCCTGGGCAATTTATTCCAGTGCTTAACCACCCTGACAGTTAGGAAAATTTTTAACCTAAACCGCCCTTGCTGCAATTTAAGCCCCTTGCTTCTTGTCCTGTTCTCAGAGGTTAACATGAACAATTTTTCTCCCTCCTCCTTGTAACAACTTTTTATGGACTTGAAAACTATTATCCTGTCCCCTCTCAGTCTTCTCTTCTCCAGACTAAACAAACGCAGTTCTTTCAATCTTCCCTCATCGGTCATGTTTCTAGACCTTTACTCATTTTTGCTGCTCTTCTCTGGACTTTCTCCAGTTTGTCCACATCTTTCCTGAAACATGTTGCCCAGAACTGGACACAAGACTCCAGCTTACACCTAACCACAAGACTCCAGAAGTCTAAGCACGGAGTAGAGCGGAAGAATTATTTCTCGTGTCGTGCTTACAACACTCCTGCTAATACATCCCAGAATGATGTTCGCTTTTTTTGCAACAGAATTACACTGTGGATTTATATTTAGCTTGTGATCCACTGTGACCCCAGATCCCTTTCTGCAATACTCCTTCCTAGGCAGTCATACGTGACTCACTAACATTTGACTCCAATATTACTCTTAGTATCAGCTTGGAACCACGTTTATTTTGGTACAAATTTTAAGTTATTTTACAGATATATTTAAAAATACAATTTGAAAATAAGTGACTTTCATCTGCGCAGTGTCTAAAATTATCATAGAATATCAGGGTTGGAAGGGACCTCAGGAGGTCTCTAGTCCAACCCCTGCTCAAACTAGGACCAATCCCCAGACAGATTTTTGCCCCAGATCCCTAAATGGCCCCCTCAAGAATTGAACTCACAATGCTGGGTTTAGCAGGCCAATGCTCAAAGCACTGAGCTATCCCTCCCTGTTTTGGTTATTATTTTTTTTAAACTGGCACTGCTAAGGTGAGTACGAGCTAATTTTACATACTAGAAGGATACTATTATTTGATTGTACCACTTAAAATAATGACTGACAAAGCACAGTACGGTAATAATGGTAATTACTCCAACCAGGACAGGTCAGGTATTTTAGAACTCACTACTGAAAGAATTAAATACAAGCATAGGAGAGAAATAAAATTATGAAATGCACAGACCAGCCAAAAATCTCAAATAACAGTAGAGTAACCCTTAAACTTTGAAAGAATAAAATTGCAGCGCGTATACGTGCATTGCGCATTTCGACAGGAAGTACCAAGACATAACAACAGCAACAACATTAATAATACAAGTGTGTGTCTGAGTGTGTGTGTGTGGGAGGGGGGGGCAGTGTGTGAGAGAGCCTGTGAGTGTGCCTGAGTGGGTGTGTCAGCGCGCTGTCTCTTTAAGCCCAGCACCCAGGAGCCTGAATGATTGTTCAATACAGCAGCAGCTGCAGTCCCCACTCCTGAGCCAGGGGCACCAGCACAGATAGGTGCCCTGCCCCCCGCCCCGGCTCAGCGGAGACCCACGTGGGCACGGCCACCTCTGGCATCGGGCGAGTTCACCCAGCGCCGCGCCAGCCACCGAACTCCTTCCCAAAGAAGGGGAGACTCTGCTGCAGCGGGAGATGGGAGGCCAGAGAGCGGCTGGTAGCTGCTGGCAGGGTGCCCAGCTCTAGGAGGGGTGGCTACAAGTGGGCTAAGGCAAATGTTGGGGTGGCTTTACCCCCTGCAAATCCCATCCCCCAGCGCTGCCCCATATGTTAGCTACATATGTGCTTTTCCACTGATACAGTTATATCGGTACAACCCCTAGAGCGCATGCACTGAGTCTGGGGTAAAGCTGCCTTATACCAGTCTAGCGTATTCCCCTTCATATACAGCACTAGCTGTACTGATCAAAACCCCTTTATACCACTGCAGCTGCAGCCCTGTCTACACTAGAGACATCTGCCAGTATAGGCTATTTCTACACTTGTGAACTAGGGGTCTGATTCCCCAGCTGAAAGGCTCCCCCACCAACCTCTGCTTCCCTTTAAGGAGTCGCTGGAGCACAGCCATCCATCACAGCTCACTATGGAGAGGACATCACTCTGGACTGCACCTTCCACCACATACCGGGGGTAAAACTCCAGCGACTGAACATCACCTGGAAGATGCAAAGAGCCGAGGGAGCAGCTCTCCTGGTTCACAGCTACTATGGGCAGAGGGACCTGTGGCAGGGACAGGACAAGGTTTACCGGGACCGGACGCAGCTGTACCCAGAGGGAATCCACAAAGGAAATGCGTCCCTGAGACTCAGGGCTGTGCACTTCCAGGACGAGGGCTCCTACCTCTGCTACGTCGCCTCTGAGCTGGGAACCTCGTCCCATACGATTTCACTGGCCGTGCTCAGTAGGTTTCCTCTGCCTGTGTCCCTGTCCGAGCGTCTGAGACACAGTCACTCACTGTGTACAATGTGATCGCCCAGCAGAGCCAGGTCTGGGTAAAGCGCCACAATCCCCCAGTGCAGACACCGGCCACGGCTGCGCCAGCAGCGCTTTGCCTTGACTTTCAGCCACCGTGTAGTGTTATGTTTTTCCACATAGGTTTAGCCCACACAAGCACAGCGCTTGCCTTTGTCCTCTGCTAGTGGCTGTATCACCTAAAGAGATAATAGCCTAAGAGTGCTAATAGCTGTTGGAGTTGTTCTTTTAGCTCATATGATAGATGCACGTACCTTTAGTTCTAAGGGTCACGAGTTCAAATCCCACTGACAGCCCAAGTGGAGGGCTGGTGATGGTCTAGGCCAGGGGTTGGCAACCTTTCAGAAGTGCTGTGCCAAGTCTTCATTTATTCACTCTAATTTCAGGTTTCTCATGCCAGTGATACGTTTTAATGTTTTTAGACGGTCTCTTTCTATAAGTCTAGAATATAGAACTAAACTAGTGTTGTATGTAAAGTAAATAAGGTTTTTACAATCTTTAAGAAGCTTCATTTAAAATTCAATTAAAATGCAGAGCCCCCTGGACCGGGGGCCAGGACCCGGGCAGTGTGAGTGCCACTGAAAATCAGCTCACGTGACACCTTTGGCACACGTGCCATAGGTTGCCTACCCCTGTTCTAGACCTTTCTGTGGATGTGAATTTTGCGAAGTAATATAGTCTTCTCGGTAACTTGGAAGGTCTGTGTGTGTTGTTGTGTGTGTGTCATATAAGTGTGGTGGGTTGGGAGTGTTGTGAAGGTTGTGTGTGTTGTGGGTGTGCTGGGTGTCTGTCGTGTTGTGTGCATGTTATGAGTGTGGCATGTTTGTATGTGTAAAAGGGGGAATGTGACAAAAAGTTGCCTCTGGAGCTGGGGTAAATAATTCTGAGCCTTGTTTCTCATTAAGGGGAGAGTGAAATGAAGTCTCCTATCGTAGCTCAGCGGGGGCAGGACGTCACCCTGAGCTGCCCCTTTGAATTCGGATTAAACGGCCAGCCGTTGAACATCACCTGGAAGAAGGAAGAAGCCGAGGGGCCGGATCTCCTGGTTCACAGTTATTATAACGGGATGGACACGTTGCAGAGACAAGATGTCGCTTACAAGGACAGAACACAGCTCCACCCGGAGAGATTCCCGCAGGGAAATGCGTCCCTGACGTTACGGAGAGTTCGCAGCCAGGATGAGGGATTCTACATCTGCCATGTCAAGCCGGATCTGGGGCGGTTTTCTGTGCGGATGCAAGTTACAATGGAAGGTATGGGACAGTGTACAGTACAAGCCCCGAGGGGTTTTCCTACACTTGAGAAAAACGCTTGAGATTTGCTACCTCGATGTGACCGTAACCTTTTCCCAGCCTCGGCAGGTTCTACCTCCATAGCTCTGGTCCAGGCTGTCCCTGCTTCCCCCTAGGGTCAGTATGAGCCACACGTGCATTGCTGGCTTCTGACCCCACCACAGCCACACAAGGAAGAGGCCTTGCGGATACCTCAACAAAAGCTGCTGCTTAATGTGCAGCGACAGGGGAAAACGAAGCAGACGTTAGACTGCACAAGGGCTGGGAAAGGAAGGGCTGAGAATGTGCCAATAGCTTCCATGAGAGTTTTTATTTTGTTTTCTGTTTGTCTTTTACAGGCTCTGTGAGTGACCAGCCATCACTAGATGCGTACTATGCCGTGTTTTCAGTTCCGTTATTAATTATAGCGTTTATTATCATTAACAAGCACCGTCGTTTCCTGCTGCGCAAATTAAAGAGTTTTCAGTTTTGGTCCCAATGGAAACAGCAGGAGGGCGGAGACCAGCCTCTCAAACCGGTTGACAGCCAATGAATCAGAAAAGCCAAACACACTCCTGCTACCACCTTGAAGAGGTCAGTGAGGCAGTCAAGAATGAAAGTCTCAGAGTTGCCGTAGTCGGAGAGACGGGATCTGGAAAGTCGTCTTTTGTCAATGCCACCCGGGGTCTGAAAAAACACAATACAGGAGCTGCTGAGACTGGGGTGGCAGGAGAAATGATGGTGGAGCTCAAGGCTTATCCACATCCCGAACACCCCAACGTAACGCTATGGGACCTGCCAGGGATCGGGACAATGAATTGTCCCTCAGACACTTTCCTTAAGCAGCGTCACTTCAGACAGTGGGACTTGGTCATTGTCATCTCCTGTGGGCGCTTCACAAACACCGATGCCAGACTTGTTGAGGAGATTCGAACGCTGGGGAAGACGTTTTACTTTGTCTGTTCCAAAGTGGACTCAGACGTGGTGTCTGCACAGATAAGAAACTTCAGTGAGGAGAGCGCCCAGCAGACGATCGGAGAGGACTGTATCTCGCACCTGGGAGGGGAAACCGACGTTTTCCTGATATCCAGCTGGGACCATGACAAGTTTTATTTCCCCCACCTGCAGCGAACCTTAGCCAAGGAATTCCGCCGTCACAGGGCGTGTGCTTTGCAGCCGGCTCTCTCAAAGAGTTCTTTGCCCATTTTGCAAAAGATAAAAGTGTCATTGTAGGAGGCAGAGCAGATATGGGGACAAAATCTACTCAGGTAGCTCCAATTTACACCACCAGATTATTTGGCCCATGTCCTACTTTTGTGTCCCTCTGCCAGCGAAATCAGGTGCCTACAATTTATTAGGGGTCCCACTGGCCAGGGAGTCACAGTTCTTTCCCCGCTCCCCTGGTGTTCTGGGGGACGGTTGGTGTGATGGCTTGAGGAGCTGTCTCTGGACCTTCTGAATTCTGGGTGATGCATGAAATTGTATCACCCGGTCGTAGGAAGCCGGATCCACCTCTGCCGACAGTGCACGCAGCAGACACACGCCGGGAAGGTACTTGACACTCAGCCATGGCCCTCTGACCACAATCGCTCTGCTAAAGAGCTGCAGCCTACGGGAGAAAGCAACAGTTTTATCTTCCCTGTCCAGAGAGAGGGGAGAAAATACACAGCAATAAATAAATAAATAAAAGGCCGACGGCACCTGGTCATGGCGCCCGGGTTAATTGACGTGGGCGTGTGCTGCGGGGCTAAGAACAGCCAAGGGGACCTGCCCGCTTGAGCCAAAGGGCCGAGACCCTCCCCAATCCCTGGGTTTCACAGCACGAGCCAAACTCAATTGACCCAAGCTCTGAGACTCGCTGCTGTGAGGGTTTTGTTTGCTATGGAGACGGACCCTCGACCTGTTCTTTGCTTAGGGGTCCTATGGGCCGGGCTCCCAGACCTGGGGTTAGAGCTCCTATGGGTAGGCCACTCAGGCAGCTTGATTCCCTAATTCTATTGGTTGTTTATACAGCAGCCAGGAGGTGGTGTTCAACCACCGCCACATATTCCATGTTGCTTTCAGGTTTCCCAGACCTATTGGTACCAAGTCCACAGTCGTGTCTGCCTGCTTGTGAATGAGGCTATCTTGCAGTTGTGACAAGGAACTTAACTTATTCTTAATTACCTCCAGGTCTACAGTATTCATAATCCCTGCTCCAAAACCAACTCCTCCTAATATGGTGTCTACTACATCTCGTTTTGCTCGGCCATTGGAGTGTGGATGTGTTTTTATCCCGGCCATTACAATAGAAAGGGAGTAGGGTGAACATTTGGGTTCCAATTTAGACACATTCAACTGAGTCCATTCCATACCAGTTTTTATTTTTACTAATAGTGGATTTAACAAGACTTTTACTGGATCACTTTGAGTCACAAACAATTTTTTTTTAATTTAACTGGGATACCTCTTTCGAATGCATAATCTCTAGTCCAGGTTCTGGTGCATGTGTCCGGGAACCATAGGTTATTATGGGATATGGTCCAATAACCCGTAGTAAATCGAACCTGTGGTGTTTATAAGGTGAACCTTAAGTCCCACTTCCCCTTCCTAGGCATACATGTTGGTATTTCCTGAGGGTTTTAAGAGTTGGCTGGTGTTTTTCTCATACCTTTCCATGAGGATCACCGGATCACGGGTAGGAATCCATGATTGGTTGGCAGAGAGTGAATTATTCCTTAAATATTGGCTTATAAGGAGGGCTGCAACTTCTTCCATGATCGCTCTAATTATCTGGGCACTAAAAGTTCCCAGAAACAGGTAAAACCAGACCTTACACTGGAGTCTCATTTCTGTGGATTAAAATGGTGGTGGTGAAGCAGCGCCCCGTGCTCAGGTTCTGGGATGTCCTTTTCTGCAAAGAATTCAAACATTATTATTTATGTAAACAGTTTAATTTGTGAAACATGGACCCATTTCAGGTTTTTTTTAGTACGGTCGGGTATACCAATGGGCTAAGGCAGTCCACTATGGAGTAAGGGCCTATCCATTTTGATTCCAGTGAGTGACCCCTTTTTCCCATATTAAGGTACATGGCTTGGTCCTCTGTTTCCCACAAGGCTGCCTTTGTGGGCCTTTGTTTTTGAATTTTGTTGTTCATGTGTTCGATGGCCGGATTAACCCTCTACTGACAGGTGGTTTTATTTTCTTGTAACTTTGAGCCATTGAAAATAATCATGCTGGGTTATATTAGAGCGCTCTCCTTCACCCTGTACCAGGTACCTAGGATCAATCTCTAGGCGCATTGGATGTCCAAACAGAATTTGAAAGGGTCGAATTTTTGTCCTTAGTCTATTACTGCTGCGGATGGCAGCCAACATCAGAGGCAGTTTATCCAGCCCGTCTTTCCCCGTGTGATTTACTAACCTCCAGAGCGCTTCCTTAATAGTGCGTTTCATGCGCTCTCCTTGGCCTGAGGCCGGTACGGTATGTGGAGTTTTTGTTTAATTCCCAAGGCTTGTATCAGTGTGGTAAAGATTTCTACTACAAAGGTTCCCCCATTGTCAGAATCTATTATTTCGGGGGTGCCACTACTTCATTAAAGAACTTTTTGGCACTACCCTGGTGCTATCTTTTGTGGGAAATGCCTCCACCCATCCTGAAAAGGAATCGATTATCACCACTAAATACTGGAATCCTTCCTTCCTCCTTGGCAATTTATCAATAATATCAATTTAACCCTGTGCCATGGCCCGAGCCTTCGTTGGTGCATCATGCATTGCCAGTGCAGAGGTCAAGCCTTGTCCTGAGTGCACCGCACACAATTTCGCATCCATGTTTTAACATCATCTTTCATACACTCCCATTCTGCTACTTGCTTTAGCCTTCTTAAAGTGCCTTCCACTCCTTCATGCATCAACTGATGGGCTACGTTAAACAACTCCTGTCTTTTGGTTTTCCCTGGAACTCGGTTAGGGTGATCTGTAGCGCCATCTGTTGGCTCAGATGTGTCAGCACAGACGTTCCTTTTCTGACTTCTAGTTACAACCGCTATGTCGTGCTGTCGGGCTATTATATCGACCCGGTTATTCCAAGTGGTCTCCATACCCGTTCCTTTACTGTATGCCTTTACATGTCGCACCTTTAACTGGTTAGGGTTCTTTGTTAGCCATATTTCCATTCCTCTGAATATGCAACATCCTTTACATCTACTACTTTCCACCCATTCCTATACCAAT